TATGATTGGCCTGTTTTGAACCTTTTTATCTAAAAAAACTACTGCTCGGAACGAAAAATGGCAAATAACTTTTTAATTTATTTTTTCGACGACTTTCTTGCTATGGTATTTTGATTCGCGAATTTCAGGACACCCTGTATGTGTATAAAAATATACATAAGAAATGTATAGTACAAGTATTACAGGTTAAATTACTAAAATAATTTGTTATTAATTCATATTTGAATGCTCTGCGTATAATAGCAGTCGTACAGTTGTAAATAAAATTCTAGAAATGTAATTACTAAATAGATTTATCACTCTCCGACATTGCGATCGGAACGCATAAAACTTATCAGCGAAGTAACATTGGTGACGCTATTCAACTATTCATTATTTCGCATCGGTAAGAGGAATTGTGCAATTGCAATTAAATATCAAGGGCACATTTCCATCTAAACAGAATTTAAATAATTAAATTGAAAATGTTACAATATAATTATATTCTGCGAAGTCAGGTTTTATTTGTTTTATATACATTTAGTTTTATTTGTTTTATATGTCTCATATATCATGCGTCATGTGTCATGTCATATGTCATACGTCATACAATATTATAGCGTAAGCATTTCATAATGTATAATGTATAATACATTATTTTCTAAAACGAAAATAAAGTATATAAAAAATATATAAAGTCCATAATTCGCGCACTTCTAAATTACTAATAACTACTTGGAAATATTGACGAATGTATCACAAAATTTAGCTAACGCAATTTATTTTCGGGAGACTTTATTATCGAATTAACCACTAGTGTCGATGTAATAAATCAATAATAATTAATTTATTGTATCGATTTACTATTAACTGGTAATAATTAATTTATTATTCTTACCAAAAAAGGTAGGTTCGGGATATTAATTATGTCCTCCGAAGGATCACCGACTGACATTTCGGGAACATAAGCTATCGTTCTTCTGGGAATGTAAGTCATTGTGCCGTTATCGTTAAACGTAACATTATCGTTTACAAGAAATTCTCTGAAAAGATATAGAATATTTGCAACATACGCTTGTTGTGCTAGAACACAATTAAATCATAGTACAAAACATTTTATTCGAAACAGGCCCGTATAATGTCTTATAATAACAAGAAAGAAACGTGCTTACTGATACACATACGGCCCAATTTCTTGAACTTTGAGTTTCTCTTCGCCGTTTAGAAATTCTATTGGATTGGTAATGTTAAATACATATACGTTTAAATACATATCAACAGGTGGTACTTTCCACAGTGTGAAAAGCCATGAGTGCGGCAACATTTCTAAATTCTGTAAAAATCGCGTGTTGTTTTCATTAATATATTTTATTCAATATATTTTATTTTATATTGGAGTACATATCATATGTACCTGACATTTGCTGTTTGTAAAATGGGAAAATTACTTAAGTAATTAATAATTGTTTCTAGAAAGGTGAATATATATTTTATAATGAGTAAGTGATTATTCAAAATTAATAGATAATAATTTAGTACTCCAAAAACTGCTTCTAAAAGAATTGATATACTTGAATCTAAAGAAAGAATTGTTTTATTCAACCTAACAAAATGGAACATTTTTAATATATTATATTTCTCCGAAATAAATTTTTTCTTGTTTTTCTACAAATTTCTCTACTTTCTATTTCTATATATGTTTCTGCAATTTTCGTTAATTATGGATACTTACATATTCCACTAGCATAGTTACAGGATCGATGACGTAAATCGTATACATCAAGGAACTACATCCAACGCCTACCATAAATAAGATGATGCTTTCTACAAAAAAAAAGAAGACGTTTCTTGTAACGAATAATCACAATTTATATTGCGTTTTATATCACGCATTATTTCATACTATACGAAGAATATGCAATTAACTTTGCGTATTTAATTTCCGAGATTTCCGAGAATTAATACAGTCGCATTTTAAATGCATGAAATAAATTAAAATATGGAAATAACTCATGTATACAATTAATTATGTATCGTTCCTACAACTTCATACTGTTAACTTAATCAATGTTGGTTATATTAGAAATGCATTGGCCGATATTGTCCAATGTAAAGCCAATATTCGCCATGGAATAAATGTAAATATTGCACGATAATAATGATATAATATTAGATTTATATTGGAAGTGCACTGGCCAATATTTAATGTAATAAAAATATTGGTCCAATATTGATACAATATTAAACCAATATTGCTAAATAGGCATATTGGCTAAGTAAGAGAAGACGTCCATCTTACAATATTGGACTAATATTTGGAATACTAGATTATTTCCCAGTATTGCGCCAATATATTGCGCTACCAGAGAATGTACCCTCTGAGATCCCAATAAGAAATTTAATCGCCAAATTTATAGAAATAAATTCTATCAAAGTTTCTACATCAAAGATGCCATACGATTAAATTTCTTATTGCGTTCTCCTTTGCACGAACACTTCGGCAATGATTAAACGTGACTACAAATCCTACGACCAAATAACCCAGCGTAGTAATAAACACTTCGAACACATATATTATCGTGTACAACTGCACATGGTTTTCGGTATACAAACCGACAAATGTGAGTGTCATAAAAAAATGTTTAACATCTCTGACATATCTCTATTTACCACTTTGCGCTTCAGTATGTGTCGAAAACCGATGCCTTTCAAAGCGTATTTGCGTACCATTCACCTTCAACTTCGCCCAATCTCGCGTGAAGAAAGGCAGATTATTCAAGCCAAATTCGGCTCAATGCCATCATTCCGCGAATTCCGCTTGGAATATCGAGCGGCGTCAACGTTTTTGGCTAACTTAATTGGGAAATTTTTTTCACACTGAAAAAATCTGATAGGTTCAACCAGTCGTCTGTTAGAAAATGGACGAATCAGAATTCCTTTAGGATTTACCAGATGTGTAGTGAAGTCTAGCAAACTTCTGGTTATGAAAGATATGTCAAACCAGAAGTTTGCTAGACTTCACTACACATCTGGCAAATCCTAAGGGAATTCTGATTCGTCCATTTTCTAACGGACAACTGGTTGAATCTATCAGATTTTTTTTCAGTACACTTACGTGTAACTCGACGCAGTAGGTCGCTTGGGTGCGGCCTTTCGCACCACATTCGCAACCAATTCATAAGCGACTATTGGTTCGACGTGACCGTGTCGGTTCAGAGTTAGAGCCGAGTGCCAAGGATAAGACAAAAAAGAAGAAAAACCATCATTCTCCGCGTGTCGTATGTATGTGGCACGACTCATTGATCACGCAATGATCTGTTTGTATTTTAAGGCCGCCGATTTGTCAATAGCGTTCAATATCCTAAACCGTTCAAGAAATTCCCCTGAGTAAATTCCCAGAACGGTCCGCGTATTGAGGAAAACTGCGAGACAGTGAAATATGAAGATTTGTTAATAAATAGATGTAATCTTTTCCGCACTACAATTCTAGAAATAAAATTAAGTATTGTAGAAACAAGTAAAAAGGACGGCTTTGAGAGCGCAATGCGGTTAACAGTACGTTATACATCGATGTATAATTATCTTATTATATAGTTATTTTAAAACCGATACAATGTTAATTTCATTGAATTTATTTATGAGATTTATTTTAGTGCCATACAGTGTGTTAAAGATATACATGTATATTAATATCTCTTTTAGACAAACCAAATCTACTTGATTTAAAAAAAGCACAGGAATATTAAATGTTAGTTGCTAAACTCAAAAAACGATTAGTTGTAGCGATTACAATTACAAATATTATCGTGATCTCAGTTGCAACATATGCATTTATCGGATACTTTTATTGTCATGTAGATTATTGTAGATTAACTGCTTAGAAAAATTTGGATATATTGTTGTACTTATTATGAACAAAATGTGCTTAATGATTAATTATAATATTGGAAAAATCTCACAAAGTTATATCGTATGCGTTAAGTAACGTGTGATCCTTAACGATTATCAATTCGAGGGTCATATGTACAAATACACGGCATCTCAAATATCCTCTTATACTTATCTTTCCGAGAATCATATTTACAAACATATACATCTCTAACTTACAAATGTATAGATTTTTTTAACTCTACTCAACTTTGTGAACTTTACAATCTATCAGTGCTGAATTCTTATCTCCGGCATTCGACGGTTATTCAGCATTAACTGATGTCAAAACAGAAAAATTATGAAATATTCATATAATTTTCTCTAAAATTCTGAGTGAGAAAAATTCAAGACCTAAAAAGAATTTTTGGAAAAATTTGTCAACAACAATTAAACTTTCAAATCAATAACAGAAAGAGACATTTCGTTCTTGAAGCGATTGCTAAATATATTCTGTACGTACATCACAAAGAAATCGCCAGATATTTAACGTCGCTTTAAATAAATGACCTACAGAAATTTAATCAAGTAATTGGGTGAAATAATCCTGATGTGATGAATGATGAAACGCAGTAATGGCAACCTCGGAGTGAACCTTGAAGGGGACTTTATGGAAGAAAAAGTTACTCGCAACTCTCTCACATATAATTGTTGCTGGCCGTGATAAAACTTCTTACGCACGTATACTTATAAGCTTGATCTTCTTGAAAATCGAGTTTTTAAGAGTCATAAATAGTAGTTGCATTCACATATATGATACGTTCAATCCACTTTCCCTCTAAACAAACATTATTTTGTCATAAAGTTTTTAGCTTTCTCCCTATATTTTCCTAGTCTCTTTAACATATGCTAATTATTAAATATAGTATACAGATTGCAACTTGAAATAACTGATAGAAAGAACTGGTTCAACATTTTTGTGTATGTTACAATACGTTTCAATAAATGGAGCACTATTGCAACAGGATATTCCTAAGTTCGAATGAAGTAAAAAAAGTCCTGTACTACTTTTTCCTCCGACAAACAGTTATCGAGATATAAGCTAAATATTGAAAAGTTATCAATTTTCTCTTGTATAAATATATAGAAATGTGTGAAAATATTATAAATTTCTTCACAATCAGATAATGATAATTATTGTCTGATTAAGTAATTGAGCTCGTGCGTCCTCATGTAAATTACAGATTACTCACTTTTAAACTGCTCCAGCGCGAACGTGGATTTCATGGCTGTGACCCAATTTCTCCCGCTTTAATTTTTTCTCTTTGCCACCTTGCAGAATCCTGAAATGAATACAGAACCATCCAGGTTATTAGATAAAGCGGGAGTAATACTGAATGCTGAATCAAGGCCAATAATAAATTACGCACAAGGTGGTTGTCAGAGTGATTGAATATGTTCATTTGTATGACACTATCATCTCAAATCTTTCACTCTTTTCTTCCTTAAGGTCAGTACTAGTAACAAGTAATCTTGAGAATGAAACGTGAAATAATACGTTAATCTTCTAGTTGTTTTCTCGCCTATTGGATTTATGTTTAATTTCACTTGTAGTTTAATTTCATCAGTACTTTAAATAAAATATTAAAAGAATTAGAAGAAGAGGCTGTGGTCGTAAACGCATCTCTTCCTTCATTCTTCCTTCACTTGTATCATCATATGTCTATATTGTCTTTTGTCAGTTAATAGAGAGTTTTTGCAATACCGTCTTCTCAGATACGGTGAACGCTAAAGTCACGTGACTTAATACGGTATTTTGCTTTTTACGTGTTCAACCAAAAAGAGTTTGCGTAACTACGGTAACGTGTAATAATATAATAAATCTGACTATTAGCCTAAATATTTGGAACAACTTACTTTTTCATATTCGCACGGTTTGTTTTTATCCATTTTTGAAAAAGATGTTCAACATGATCTCGGACAGCACGCAAACTGAAATCTTTTTGCGTTGCTACCTTTACGCGGTTTGCAACTCTTGTCCATTTTTCTTTTTCTTCATATGGGTTTTGAGCTATGACCTCTCGTAACAGAACGATCCCAGACAGCACACCATGTCTAAAAGACAGCTTTAAGACGTCTTTAAGTCTAAGGCCCGGTCTACGATGAGTCGTTAGTCGTTAGTCAGAAGTCGCAACTATATGTTGATTTTTTTCCTTTCTGGGTGGAAGAAAAAGGACCGACATATAGTTCCGACTTTTGACTAACGACTAACAACTCATTGTAGACCGGGCGTTAAAGACGTCTTAAAGACATCTTTATGATGTCTTTTAGATGTGTGTGCTGTCTGGGATGTCATCTTCATTTTAGTGAACCGCAGTCGTTACTTTTGATAGCCATATCGTCAATGCTATTTTTGATAACCTTATTTGCTCGAAAATAACGTCACACGTTATCTAAATAGCGTTACGGTGAACTACGCGCATGCGCAGTTCCGTCTCTGATCCAATAACGTAAGTTTAGCGTTCCCCGTATTTGAGAAAACGGTATTGCAAAAACTCTCTATTAACGGTTTATTCGCGTAATTCATCTAATTATATATTGAATTGATTCCATAGATTCCATAGCTCCTGATTTAAGGT